TGCTAAATTCGGGTTGTTTTGAGGTACGGGCCCCTGGGGAATTTCCCCTCATTATGCCGGGCAATTAGAGTGTTGTCGATTTAATTTTTAATTTGGCATTCCTGCTCTGTCCCTAACAAAAATGTGTATTTTTTGTCTGTTAAGGTAAGTTTATTGGCTGTCATCAAGTCATATTTTGATCAGCCCCTCATTAAAAAGGGGTTTTGAGGGTGGAAGATTAGGGTGAGAGATGAAAATCGTGTCGCCCAAAGAGAAGGGGGTTCAGTGTGAGTACATTTGGAAGATGATTGATGTATTGGGGAAGAGCGGGGGGCCAAGGACATTTCCCTGCAGAACCCCGTATCAAGTGGCGTGTTGTTGATTCGTGTTTTAAATGGTGACATATGTACCTATTGTAAGGTAAGATTTGAAATATGCAAACCATGGCTCTTATCCCCAAAAGTCATTTTTGGGGAGTGGATCCCGTGGTTACTGTGTAAAAAAGCTTTTCTTAGGTCAATAAAAATTCCAGGGTATTCCTATTTTCAATGCTGTGTAAAGCAGATCTAGCTTTTTTACGATTGCTCTTTAGTGCTTCATTTTCCGAATAAAATTTGGCAGGGGTTGAGTTGTTTTTGCCGTTATAAATGAATTAGTTCCTGTGCATGAGTTTCTCAAAGTTTTTGGGATAGCAATGGAAAGTTTTTTTTTTGGGCCTATATTTTTTAAATCTGTGGGGGTCACCACCTTTTGTTTGGGTTTTCCCCTTCCCCGTCTTGAGTTTTTGGGGAAGGGTGCTAGTTTCTAGGGGCTTGTTAAAAAGTAATGAGATGCATGCAGAGGACAGGGCCCGCTGCTTGTCAATAATGGTGGAATGAGACGTTTCCCCCGATTATTTTTAAGTGTTTTTTAAAATTTGGGTGTTTCCCGTGGGTCAGTTGGAGCAAGATAAAAGGGAATTTGGAAATTTCCCCATCTAGGTGTCCCCGGCAGGGGGCTTGGGTACGGGGGATTTTATTGGCGAGATTAGAACCCTATGGTTGGAAGAAGTGTTTATCTTGTTGCGTGTCAGTGGGATGCATGGTGTTTCTTGGTTTAGTTAGGACAATACTTGGTTTTTTCGTTTGTGGGGCCCCAGAATCTGAGAGTGTTTCCGTCTTTTTTTTATTCCCCTTTTGGGCAGTGATTACTGGGATAGTTTAAATTGTTTGGGGTTTTTTTTTTATTTGGTGAGGGGCTGATGAAAATTTTTAAAAAAAAATCTTTGTGTATTAGGCCCTGTCTTATTGTTTTATATTGGTGTTTTTATCAGTGGATTTCAGAATGGGGTGGTTAGCCATGGGCAACCAAGCCCTTGTTTTTTGATCTGTTTCGTTTTTTTTGGACAAAGTTTGTTGTATAGTTAAAAATTTGTTTAAAAAAAATGTCTGTCCAGTTCAATACCTTGCCCCTTTGGGGAATTTGTAGGGCCCCAAAGTCTTGGTCAGCTGTGAATTCCCTTTTTGAGGCCCCATCATGGGGGTCTAAATGAAACTTTGTTGTATCAAGTGGGGGTTTTAATGTTTGTCAAGAGGAAGGTAGGGTAGTGGTCTGTAGTGTATCTGGATTACCCTGTTTAAGGGGGAGTAGTAATTTGGGCCATATTGGTTTATTATGGTTGACTTGTTTCAGTGAGCCCGGTTGGTTTAGTTTTGTTGTATGAGAAGTGTGTTGTTCAAATTTTGATGACATCAGTTACAGGTGATCATTAGTAGGCCAAGGTTGTGTTGAAGTTTCAGTAAAAAGAAGGTGGTGTTATTTATTTTCTGTTTTTTTTATTGATCCTTTAATTTCTCACTGAAATTTTTGGGGTGTTTGTGTTGGGGATCCCGGGAAATGGACGATTGTTATAGGGTCTTAAAGGTTTTTTTCGTGTTCCTGGTAAGGGGGGATACATTGTGTCCTGCTTAAGCCAGGTCTCAGTGAATAAAGCGGAGAAAGGGGTCTTTGTGATTTAAGGGTGCCAGGGGGTCATCTAGTGTTTGTTACGGACCCGATGTTGTAGTTAAGTACTGTAGACTTACATTTTTTAGGATAGTGCGGCTTGTGATGGTGTAGTAAGGGATTCTTTCCCTAGGTTTTGGTTTTTTGGTCAGTTTTGGGGTTTAGATAGGGTCAAAGTGAAACAATATCATTGGGTTTTTAAATTTTGGTTTTTATATCCTGAGTTGTGTGTTAGTTTTATACTTATATCTTAGGGGGGAAGTTGGAAAATATTACTATGATTTTGGTTATGAGGAAGCATATAAAATAAGGGTTGTTTTGTTATGTGTTGTCTGGAATAGCTGATCAAAATAGGGATAAACTAAAAATAAAAAAAAAAATTAAAAATAGCACAGACCCCCATTGTAATTGCACTAAAGGCTATGTAAGACTTTGGGATAGCTATGTATTGAGCTGAATGAGCTATAGTACAACTAGGGTTTTAAACATTAAAATAAAAATACAAATTTTTAAAAGCACCAGACTCCACTAGTAATTTTACCCCCTTGGTCTAATATAGTGAATTTTTGGTATTTACTATGTATTGAGAAATGACTATATCAAAATGAGTTTTAAACTAAGATATAAAAAAAGGGCCCAAGACTCAAATTTTAATTGCCCAAGGGGTTATTAAGTTGTTTACAAAATTTTGAGTAAATAGATTTTAAATTTACAAGATAAAATGTAAAGTTAAGGTAAAAAAGAAAAAAAAAAGTAGAAAAAAAAATATATGGGTGTTTGGGAATTAGCAAAGATAGTTAGGGCCCTTTAACAATAATATAATTGAAATATACATAATTGCACACAACTCATTGTGGAGCTCCCAATCACCGGGTTTTTCAACACTTAAGTTTACTTTTGTATTAAACAAAAAACAATTTTTCCGGGTAGATAACTTCATAGATCCCTTATGTGTTAGCCCCCAAACACCGACCAGTATTTTTTAAATAAAATGACCCACTGATCAAAACAGACTGGTTCCGAACCCCGTGGTCCGAACCCCCACAATTTCAAACGGTTTTTGTTGGGGCAATAAGCAGATGGGAAACGGGGGGGTTAGGCGCCCTTATAAACACAAACAATAAATAAAAAACAGGGGCGTACTCCGGTAAGCTGTCCTAACATACAAGTACAGTTAGAAATAGAAATACAAATAGCTAGAGCTTCACTTTAAGGAGGTTATTAATAGCGTATTCAAGAGGTTGCTAGTAGAATTACAGTAATTCAACCATTCAAATCATTATGAAGCCCAGTGTAGTCTGCAATCTATCAAACAAACAGGCTTCCACATGGATAAATTGTCATTTTTGTGGAAATTGGTGTAAAGCCCCTTGTGCAGATATCCAAGAACTAGCTACAAGAGGTATTAAAACAGGTAAGTGTTTTTGGGTATGTCCAAATGAGATAAATCTGTGGACTAATATCACATTGGTATTAAAAAAGGATAACATCAAAGCTGCTTTCATAGACAACCTGGAGGCATTCTATAACAGATGGGAACATAAAAAGTCTGGGCTGGATGGTACTGCCCTTGATGCTGGTCATGTAGACAGAAACTGTAAGGCTGGAGGTGATGTCCTGGTTGTCAGTAAATGTGGGGCTGATAGTGCTGTCCTGGTAGACAGTAATGGTGAAGCTGGAGGTGCTGTCCTGGGAGACAGTAATGGTGAAGCTGGAGATTTTGTCCAGGTAGTCGGGAATTGTACGCAGGATGGAATGCATATAAGTGACCTCATGAGAGACAGGAGCCGTAGTGGGGAATCAAGTGTAGTCAAAGATAAGACAAAACCAATATTGCAAACTAGAAATACCACAGGAAATAGCAAACAAGAGGACTCCACTAGCAATAGTGAGGATATATTACCAAAAACAACTGGTGCGAGCTCCTTTGTTGGTGCTAGGGAGGATAGGAATAAGACAGATAAACATGCACCAACAGGGAATACAGTCACAGAAACCCAAGGCAAACATGCACCAACAGGGAATACAGTCACAGAAACCCAAGGCAAATGGAAACCAAGCCTGTGCACATACTATGCACTTGGTATCTGCAGGCATGGGAAATCTGGAAAAACAGATGGGACGTGCAACTATGACCTCCCTAGAAAATGCCGTGCCCATATGACAACAGGAAAATGCAAACTCCCTTCCTGTAAGCTTTTTCACCTGAAAAGTGTCCCTCTTCAGTACAGGAAAAGACTGTGCTATAACTTAAATTGCCAGGCACACCATCTAAAGGGGACAAAAAGATACAAAACATCCAGGCCATGGGAAAACCTGGGTAGCCACAGCCACTCAAGAGGGAGAGGTTTTTTAGTGCCAGGAAGAAAAAAAAACTCGCAGGAAATGGCAGAAATCGTACACCAAATCCAGTCATTCCTGGAGTGGAACCACAGTCGATGGCCTCCACTCCAAACCAACAGATACAGATACTAATGCCGGAAACCCCCCCCCCAGTACCAACAATACCACCAGTCCGATGACATTCTTTGCAAATACAGTGGACCCCCGCATACCGGACGCATCGCATACCGTACAATCCGCATACCGGACGCTTTGATCGCAAAAATTTTGCCTCGCATACCGCCCAAAAACCCGCTCACCGCCCTTCGTCCAAGACGCGTCCAATGTGTGGCCTGAGCCACGCTCACATGTTCCGCCGGTGGCATTGTTTACCAGCCAGCCTCCGCGGTAACATCCAAGCATACAATCGGAACATTTCGTATTATTACAGTGTTTTTGGTGATTTTTTCTGGAAAATAAGTGACCAGGGGCCCCAAGAAAGCTTTAGTGCCCCCCTACGCAATAAGGGGTGGAATTACTTGGGATGAAGAAAAAATCATTGATAAGTATGAAAGGGGGTGGTGTCTCCGAGTGGCCAGGGTTGTATAATAAACCCCAAAACCACGTACTATTGGGGTACAGTGCTGCTGTACCCCCGTTAGCTGTGCTGCACTTAGTGGCTGCACTGTCAGCTGCTGCTGCATTCAGCTGTGTGCTTACCACCTCAGCTGCGGGGTTTTGCTGGTAGTACCGTCTGCTGCTGCTTTGATGTCTGCTGCTGTTTTGTAGTCGTTCCTGTGCTTTTTAGCATCTTTCTGCTCCTGCTGTAGCATGTTGCTGCTGTGTAGCATGTTGTTGTGCGGCATGTCTGTTGCTGTTGTAGCATGTTTGCCGCGTGCTTTCTGCTGGTGTAGATCGTCTGCTGCTGCTGTAGATGTCTGCTGTGCTGTAGCATGTCTTTTGCTGCTGTGCTCGTTGTTGTGCTGTCCCACCGTCAGCTGTGCTCTGCTGTTAGCCCCGGTTGGTGTGGCTATTGAGAATACAAAAAACCAATTCCCCCAGAGGTTTTTGCCACCAGGATAACCCAAAAAAGTCAGTGTATCGAAGACGTCTAACTATTTCCTTGGGGTCCTTAATTTGTTCCCAGGATGAAACCCACCCCAGTCGACTAACACCCAGGTAAAGGGGGGAAAATCCCGGGAAATAGTGCTCATATTGGTGAATTTAACCCAAACCAAAGGTTGGTTTGAGAGATTTAAAAATGAGGGCATACTCAGGTGATAAGGCTGTTCTGGAAGAAAAAAACCAAACAGGACCCCGTATGGAGGAAAAGGCACTCCCCGGACAAGTGTCTTCGTCTTTCTGCATTTCAATAAAGGTAAGTGTCATTATTTTATTTGTGAGTAGTACATGCACAATATTATTGTGCTGTACTACTCTATATTTTGGAAAGTATCCCTTTTCTTTTTGTGTAGGAAAATGTAATTTCATGTGGAAAAAATTTTTTTCATTTCTTTTTGGGGTCTTGCCGGATTATTTTATTTCCATTATTTCTAGGGGAAAAAACATTCGCTACCGAACATTTCGCAAACAACCAGCCCCCTTGCCGGATTAAAGGTCCCATGCGGGGGCCCCCTGTATCAGTGTTAAGCCAGCAACAAAACAACAAAAAACCTTTTCCGTGGACTGCTTGCAGAGGAAAAAACAAAGTGGCCCCGGGGGCCCGGGGGCTTAAAACTCCCGCTTAAAACCCGGAGGGCCCGGGGTTGATTCCCCGGGGGGTGGAAAATTTCGACCGTTTCCTTTCACCTGTTGTCCCCGTTTACCCGCAGCAAATAGGTCCGGGGTGTTTGTCGATGGGGTGGGCGCATCCTGGGGGACAAGATTAAGGACCCCAAAGGAAATAAGTTAGACGTCTCGATGACCATGATTTTTTGGGGTTTCCGGGTGGGTAACCCCCGGGGTTAAAAAACTGAACGAAATTTATTTATCTTATCTTATCTTAATGTTCGCGGCTTTTATGAGACCCACATTTAAAGGATTATTGGAAAAACAAAAATATGGATCCCAGGTTAAACCTTACAGACGTGACAGAGTGAACAGGCAAAAGGGGGGAGGGTTTGGGCCTGTCATTGCAGAGTCTTTGGTGTGACAAAACTGCTGAATCCCTAAATGTGTATGGAATTTTTTGCAGTAAAGTCGAAAACAAAACCCTAATCTTTGTGGTAGTCTCAAGCCCCCGGATGAAACATCCCAGAAATTTCCCGGAACAGCGGGTTTTAAAAATTGACCATGTCTGGAAAATTTCCCCAGCCCTGCCCCCCAAATTTTTGCTCCTGGGGGTTTTAAAATTTAAGGCCCCAAAAAGGGGGAATTTAAAAAATTAAATTGTTGCAGTAAAAAAACCCAGGGGGAGTTGATGAAAATCCCTACACAGTTTTTTAAATCTCTGCAAAAAAATTCAATTTAAACAGAAAATAATAGACCCTACAGATGGAGAATCACTAGACCTATCTTCACTAAAAATGATGTCTGTACGAAAGTCCCATATCAAAAGGGTTTATATCGATCACAACTTAATTGGGTTCAGACATGTTGCGCGGCCCCCCCAGACGACATAATGAGATTAGTCCGAGGAGCATTCACCAAATTCAATTTAATAACAAAAAACATAAGGGGCCAAGAAAACCCAAAATCCTAATGTTAAAACTGGGAAGATATTTAAGCAAACGACCCAACTTATGCCTGAACAGGGGTTAAAACGGTGGCGCTTGATGTATGCACAAGGTTTTTCCTCTAAAAAAAGGAGGGGAGATGTAAAAAAGAAAGGGAAGGCGCCCTTTACAGGGAAAGGGAAAAAAATAACAGAGCGGCTAAAGAGGGCAATATATCTGAAAGCGTAGGGGGCACTGGTAGAGAAATTTCCAAAAAAAAAAGAAAATTAAACTAAAAGGGAAACTTATAGGAGTCAGAAACGCAGGAAGAACTAAAAGCCATAAATGAAATCGAAAGGGAAAAATCAAAGTTTTCTTTCCATGCCCAAAACAAAGTCGAGAACAAGTCCCGTATTGGGCCCCCACTTAAACAAGAGGGTCCTAACAGATGACAGCAAAAAGGAAAGAGGAGCTATCAAGTCCAATATGACTCAGTTTTTAGCAAAACCCCTAACCCGACTGAGAGTTGAAGATCAAATGAAGTTTTTATGAGAGAGCCCCAGAAATTTTTGGTTAACACAAGCCCATTTGTGTTATCCTGACACTAAATGACTTGAGCAGGCGATAAATGCATGCCCCTGCACTCTCCCCCGGGCCAGATAGGAACTCTGTTTCAAGAATGAAGAAGCCCCTATCACGGCTTTTCCCCCTATGGGGGGTAGCATGGACAGGGGGTCGCCCCACAGTTATTAAAAAAACAGACATAGCCCACTCCACAAAGGGGGCGTAAAGCAACAGCAAAGAACACAGCCCAAATGCACTAAACCCCATTCAAAATCTTAAAAGGGGCCCAAAGAAGAAAGATCACCCCCCATTAAAAACCCCATCAATTACAAAACCCCGGGAACTTTGGTTTAAAAACGGTCGCCCCTGTCTGTCCAACTTTTGGGGCACTAGACAAGGTCCTAGATGATAAAAGCAAAAAAAAATGCAGATGAAATATATACAGACTTTGCAAAAGCTTCGACAAGTGTGACCATGGGAATAGGCCAAAAACTTGCAAAAGGAATAAGGGAAAAAGCGGTTGATGGATCTTAATTTCCTCACTAAAAAAAGAGAGAGTAGTCGTCAACAGGTAAAGCCCGAGGAGCTACGGTGAAAGCTTGTTCCACAAGGCCGTCTTGCTCCCTCTTGTTCCCCATCCTCAACTGACTAGTAAGGATGTCGCACGACCATTTTCTTCCTTTGCAGAGACACCCCAATCTGCGACAGTGTCTTCCGTTGCGACACTGCAAGGTCCAGGGGCATCAACCCAAACTTTAGTGGGCTGCAGAAAAAGTAGAAGTTTAAGTGGAAATTTCAATTATGAATGGCAAACCGAGGAAAAATTTAAAAGTCTCAGAGTATAAAAAATTTGGCCACAAAAATGAGCGAACACCAAGTCAAAGCCCGGGAAAACAGTGGGGATCTCGCTTAAAGGCCAAACTTGTATCAATGATCTCTAGAAAAATGACAGGGTGGTAATGAGAACCTTCAAAATAGGGAGGCCAAGCCATGATGACACTCTTCAGGTCATTGTTTTTTCTAGGCGGAATATTGTGCACCTAACAGCACCTTTCAAGGCAGGTGAAATTGCTGACCTAAAAAATGTACAGAGAACCTTCACGGCGCGCATAACGGAGATAAAAACACCTCAATTACTGGGAGCGCTTGAGGTTCCTAAACCTGTATTCCCTGGAACGCAGGCGGGAGAGATACATGTTATAGCACCTGGAAAATCCTAGAGGGACTAGTACGAACTTGCACACGAAAATCACTCACTACGAAAGCAAAAGGCTTGGCAGATGATGCAACATCCCCCCAATGAAAAGCAGGGGTGTCACTAGCACTTTAAGAGACCATACAATAAGTGTCAGGGGCCCGAGACTGTTCAACTGCCTCCCAGCATACATAAGGGGGATTACCAACAGACCCCTGGCAGTCTTCAAGCTGGCACTGGACAAGCACCTAAAGTCGGTTCCTGACCAGCCGGGCTGTGGCTCGTACGTTGGTTTGCGTGCAGCCTACAGTAACAGCCTGGTTGATCAGGCTCTGATCCACCAGGAGGCTGGTCACAGACTGGGCCGCGGGGGCATTGACCTCCGGAACTCTCTCCAGGTAAACTCCAGGTAAACAATATAGTCACTATGATATGAAAACAATCTTAGAGTAGGACTTATAATATAAACTTATAATATAAAAATACAAATTGAAATGGTACTTGCAATTGCACTAGAGTCTGGTATAGGTTGTTGACAAGATCAGGAGTATAACTAGATTTAAATTGACAAAATAAAATTCACAAATTAAAGTACCAAAAGAATGATAAGTAAAAAATAACAATGACAATGGCTTGGTTATAATATGATAGTAAGATGGTAGACAGGTACACTGGTACAAAGGATAATATAAAGGTTGGAGTTGAATATACAAACTTGGAAATTTGAGCCAGGTCTCTGTTATAGCAATAATATCTATGTTTCCTGCACTTACAATTAATCTTAGCTCATCTATCTTATTTCTTACACTCCTGCTATTAGTATAGTAAACCTTAAGGGAGCTAGTCCCTTGCTGTCCGCTGCTGTCCCCCTTTGTTTCCTGACATGATCTATTGTCTTTATTTATAACTTCATGCTGAATGCCTTTTATACATTTACTGTTTCCAACCCTAGTGTTGCAACCTGCTTGTTTCCCACACACACCCATACCTCTATCTTCTATCAGTTTAAAATCATAGGCATTTCACCAATGGCCTTCTCAATTGAGTTTGCAAGTGCTACCACCCCAGCCTCAGAGAGATGTACCCCATCCCTTGCATACATATAAGAACATAAGAACATAAGAAAGGAGGAACACTGCAGCAGGCCTGTTGGCCCATACTAGGCAGGTCCTTTACAATTCATCCACAAAACAAGCATTTGACCAACCCAATTTTCAATGCTACCCAAGAAATAAGCTCTGATGTGAAAGTCCCACTCAAATCCAACCCCTCCCACTCATGTACTTATCCAACCTAAATTTGAAACTACCCAAAGTCCCAGCCTCAATAACCCAACTAGGTAGACTGTTCCACTCATCACTACCCTATTTCCAAACCAATACTTTCCTATGTCCTTTTTTTAAATCAAAACTTATCTAATTTAAATCCATTACTGCGGGTTCTCTCTTGGAGAGATATCCCTAAAGGGACCTTGTTAATATCCCCTTTATTAATACCTATCTTCCACTTATACACTTCGATCAGGTCTCCCCTATTCTTCGTCTAAAAAAGTGAATGTAACTTAAGAGTCTTCAATCTTTCTTCATAAAAAAGATTTCTAATGCTATGTATTAATTTAGTATCCTACGCTGAATGTTTTCAAACGAATTTATGTCCATTCTGTGATATGGGGGACCAGAATTGAGCTGCAATAATCTAGGTGAGGCCTTACTAAGATGTATAAAGCTGCAGTTTTACCTCTGGACTTCTGTTGCTTACACTTCTTGATATAAATCCAGTAATCTATTTGCCTTTTTTACCTACGCTTAGGCATTGCGTCTTGGTTTAAGGTTGCTGCTTACCAAAACCCCCCAAGTCCTTTTCACAATCTGTATGGCTAAGTTCTACATTTTTTAAAACTTATAAGTGCTAGGGTTATGGACACTCCCGGGGCTTCAGAACCTTTGCATTTATCTACATTGAACTGCATCTCCCACTTTTTGACCAAGAATAGAGTTTGTCTAAATCCTCCTAAAAGTTCCCTAACATCTAGTTTGAATAAATTATCCTACCTATCTTCGTGTCATCGGCGAATTTGCTCTATCACTAGTAATTCCCTCATCAAGATCTTGTATATATTATAAACAACAAGGGGCCCAAAGGGACTAAACCCCTGGGAACGCACTTGTTACTGATCCCCACTCGGATTTAACCCCATTTATGGACACTTTTGCTTCCTGTCTGTGAGCCATGATTCGATCCACGAGAGCACCCTTCCCCCAATGCCATGAGCTGCTACTTTCTTCAACAGTCTTTGGTGCAGAACTCTATCAAATGCCTTACAAAAATCTAAGTAAATAATTTCAAATTCTTTATCGTGGTCAACAGCCTCAAAAGCTTTACTGAAGAAAGTTAATAAATTAGTTAGACAAGACCGGCCTCTTGTGAATCCATGCTGAGTATCATTATCAAGCTATGCTTATCGAGAGGCTTCTTATATTTTGAGCTATAATTGACTCTAGTAATTTGCCTACAATTGAGGTCAGGCTTATTGGGCGGTAATTTGACAGTAACGACTTGTCCCCTTTTTTAAAAATAGGAATTACATTAGCCATCTTCCACATATCAGACACTACACCTGTTTGAAGAGAAAAATTAAAAATATTATTTAAATGGTTCACAGACTTCCATTTTGCATTCCTTTAGGAACCCTTGAAAAAACCTCATTAGGACCCGGTGACTTATTTTGCTTCATTGGTCTATCTGCTTCACAACCATTTCACAGTGACTGTGATGTTACATAATTTATCTTCTTCTGGCCCACTAAAAAAATTAAATTACCGTAATATTATTAGTGTCTTCCTGTGTAAAAACCCGAGAGAAAATAATTATTTAAAATCGAGCACATTTCATTCTCTTTGTCAGTAAGATGCCCATAGTTATTTTTAAGGGGACCTATCTTATCTCTGACTTTTGTTCTATATACCTGGAAAAAACTTTTTGGGTTAGTTTTAGAATCCCTAGCAACTTTAATTTCATAGTCCCTTTTAGCTTTTCTTATCCCCTTTTTAATGTCCCTCTTAATGTCAATATACTGATTCATAAGATGACCCTCGCCTCTTTTGATACGCCTATAAATTCCTTTCTTATGCCCTATGTTTGCCATAAAAGTTGTTCCGGTTGTCAATGAATGGGATTGTAAGTTCCTTGCAGTATCTGTCTAGCCAGCAATTTACACCAATTGCCCTAGACAACCATTCATTTCCTACTCCCCTTCTAGGCAAGATGCTACATATGATTGGGACCCCTCTATTAGACTTAATGAAATCTATAGCTGACCTGTACTTACCTAGCAGTTCTTCTCTCCTACCCTTCCCAATATTTCCACCAGCACTGAGACAAATAATGGGCTTGTTCCCATTTCCCTGACATATTATCCAGCTGTTAACTATTTTCCCCAACCACCAGTCCGGGGAAAGCACACTCCCCTCTCCATCTTCTTTTCCTATTACAAAAAGCACGGTCATATATCTTACCTGAGAGTCACCAACCACAAGAATCCCGCTTACTTGTTAGCGGGGGCATAGTACCCTACCTTCACTGGCCCTGAAGTACATTCTCCTGAAAAACAAGAACGATTTCCTCCCTTCAGATTTTCACTCTTAACTTTCCTTACTCTGATGCGCCTCCCATTACTGTGAACCACTCGCCACTTGTAGCAGGTGCTGGACTGCACCTCACTGCTGGTAGCTGTTGCTACCTCCTCACAGCGAGAGACAGACTGCACCTCACTGCTAGAAGCCTCATTCCCCACAACTCCAGCCACATCACACTCTCTCCCAGACCCATTGAGGTGGACCTTCAGCCTCCTAATCTCCTCCTGGAGAAGCAAGACCTCCTCCTTCAACTCGCCAACCTCAATTTTTAAAACACTGTCTACCATCTTACTATCATATTATAACCAAGACATTACCATTATTCATTGTTCTTACCTGTCCATTTAATTTTGTTTACCACTACTTGTTTTTTTTAGTCACTTTTTACTGTGTGTGCAATTAGTGTATATTCCAATTACTTTTTTGCAAGTACCAAAACTATCTTTTGCTAGCTAGTACCAACTACCTCATTTTTTTTTTTTTACTTTTTATTGTGCAATAAACTGCTCAACTTATTTAATATTACAAATCAGATCTTTACTCCTAAACCAATATTATTTCTTAGTGACTATCTGTCCATTTAACTTGTTTACCATTACTTAATTGTAGTCCCTTATATATTTTTTGGTCCTTTATTTTAGCTTTATATAACTACCTTAGCTCATATATTCGCAATTGTTAAAATAATCAAGGTGCTATTCTCAGGTGCAAAAAGTTAATAAGTTCACTATTTTGCCATTATACTCCAAAGCTCATTGATTTTGATTACCCCTTTATTGTTCACCACAACTTATTTAGTCCCTTTTATATTATAATTTTATATTATAATTCTAACTTTAAAGAATTACCTTTAAAGTAAATACCTACTATCATATTCCCAAGCTCCATTATTTGTTCATCACTTTATTTGTTCACCCCAAATTATTTTAGTCC